TGAACCGAGCTCGGGAGTGACGCGGGCTGGGACAAGTGTTATTTATTGATGCAGCGTGTTCTTGGTGACAATGGATTTGGACAAAGTGGGTTCTCTCCCCTGTTCAGAGGGGAGGAACGTCAGCTGTATTTTCTCCATGAGGATGCTCCTGGCCTGTGCACTGGGCATGCACCTGTGGAAGGAATGTGCACTGGGTAGGTACCTGGTGGAGCAAAGGCCTCTGCAGAAAGGCAGTATCAAGTGACTGTGCCTGGCACAGGGCTCGGAAGCAGGGACCACACCAGAGACACTTGTGGCGATGTAGGAGTTGCCACTAGCTCACAGTGGGCTGTGCAATTACAGGGCAAAAATCAAAGCTCTTTGGGCCTCCTGGGCTTTGGACAGGCTGCATGGGCGGGTGCGGATGCTCCATTCTTGCCTCCCAGCTGCCAGTTGCAAAGGGAGAAGCCCAACTGCACTTTCAGCTCCTCACCCCACTGCTGGAGTGGGCAGTGTGTTCAGCCAGAGACGAACCTGCCTCCTGCCCAGAGGCCACACAGGCGCTTTGTGGCTCTTCCATGTCCGCCAGGAAGGAGTGGGCCCACCAGCACTGGTGTGACATGCATTGGAGGGGACCTCCTCTCATCCGACCATGGCCATTTCAGAGCTGCTTAAGTGCCAAAGAAATGCATTTTTGATGCCCTCTGATGCTGTGTGGTAGCCAGAGGTGGGAGCTAAGTCCAGTCTGTGCCTTTCCCCAGGTGGCATTGCAGAGATGTAAGAAAGCATACCTTTCACCTCTGAGGTACAATCTTCAGGTCCTCCTCTCCCAGGATTAACCCACATCTTCACCTGCGATGAGAGGAAGGCACATGCAGTTTTGACACCTGTTGCCAAGCAGGCGCGTTGCCTGCAGTGGTTTGGAGATGGACAAACAGCATGGCCTGCCACGGCCGCAGGCAGCAAGCGCCCTGGCGCTCCCTTGCTCTCGGCCCAGGGATCACACACAGCTCCAGGGTGGACTCTCCAGCCAGAGCATTTCGCAGCACCTGGCACTGGTCCATCCTCTCATGAGGAGGGATGTGTGAGACCTTTCTGCACCTCTCGGATCTGGCAGCTTCACAAGCGAAGTGGGCATGTTCTGACCCCCGTGCCCCACAGGAACCCTGACAGGTTACTCGTCATGCCCTGAAATCAGGTTCTCCTGCAACTGCCCAGGAGGAACTTTGTATTTAAGTGGGTACCTGGACCCACTCACACTTTTGTACACATTAGTTTGGCACCATCAAGTCACGCATGGCACAGTTTCCAGTATACTATTGCTAAGGCATGTATATATTCAGTAGATGCACCTACATATAGGGGCAAACCCGCTGATGAGACACTTGCTACATGACTCAAGTTTCATGTGTCCTAGCAGCAGTTCAGAAGCCAGCTCACCTCCTTGACAACTGTCACGCCATCTTGGGCACCCCCAGGAACCTGGCTGGTAGTGACCAGCCAAGGGACTCTGGGGCTCCCATCATGGCTGGCTAATGTGCTTGGCATGGGGTGCCATGTGTGCCGATAAATGTGGTGTGGGGAAAGCGGCCTCAGGGGGCTGCACACATGTGGGACATTTGCATGCGCCTACCGGCGTGGGCGTGTGCCTGCCGACAGGCGTACATGAGGCACGTGTGTGTGTGTGCCTACCTGCACAGGCACATATTGGATGGAATGTGTGTGTGTGGTCATGCGCGTGCGTGTGCCCACCAGCACAGGCAGGTGTGGGATGTGTGCATGCCCACTGGCATGGGCAGATGCAGGACATGTGCCAATAAGCAAGGAGAAGACAAAATGTGCAGATGACAGTGTAAGAGACAGAGGAAGGATAGTTGAGAGCTCCCAGACAACCCACACCAGCTACACAAGGAGAAAGCAACGGAGTAGAGGGTACCCTATAATGAAAGTAGAGAGAGTCTCTGTTTCGAGACTGACTGAAGCAGTGTATAGGTGCTCTCAGGGCTTGCTGAGCATGCGGCCTGCAGCCAGACTGAGCCCTGCAGTTCAGTGGGTGACCTAGGAACGAGGACAAGCCTTATTCGTGCCATATAATTGGTATACATCTATCTCTGCTCTTGGATGCCCTCTCTCTGCCCCAGGGTGTGTCTCCGCCTCTCCCAGCCCTGCCTGAGCAAGTGAGGAGCTGAGCGCATCAGGCCAGGCAGGAGGCATGTTTTCCCCATGGACAGCCCAGCTCCCATTGGCCTAAGCCCTGGGCTTGGGGCTGCTGAGCTGCCCTGGGTGCCTTTCACAAAGGTCCATGCAGCCATGAGGACACTGTTTAAATAGTGTATTATGGTGCCCTGGGAACAGCCCCGAATTCCATCATCCAAGGAGGCTCAGAGGCTGTGGGATCTCCATCCCTGCAGCCCTGAGCAGTCTACTCGAGCTGTGATGCTGGTCCTGCTGAGAAGGGGCTGGACCAGAGATCTCCAGAGGGCCCTTCCTACCCAGACCTTTCCATGACCCTAGCTCTGACAACAACAGCAGCACTGGAAAAGAATAACCTGATTGCGTTTTCATTAGGATGCACAGTGTCTCTGTGGCCACACAAAGAACTTGAAGGCAGAGCATGCCACAGCTGCCTGTAGAAAGCCTTTCTGTTGCTGGCTGAGAGCATAAACGACTCACGCTCCCCTGCCTTAGCCCTGCGCGCTTGCTCGCTCTGTCGGCAGAGTGGGCGTGAAATGCTCCCGTCCCATTTTGGCAGCGTTTTGTACTCACAAAAGCATTGCTGGGAGCAGCTGAATCCCAGGGAAGAGAGGGGGCACGTGACCAGGCCAGGTTAGCAGAGAGCGGGCGAGGGCCGGGAAGCAAGGACAGCAGGTTCTGTGTAAGGAGAGTGCCCTCCAACCCAAACATCTCAGCTAGCTTCAGTCTGCACCTCGGAGCACCTCAAGGAAAGTTGGATCAGATGTTTTACTTCCAGAGTAAAATGTCTCTGCAGCAAGCTGGACTCAGGGAGCAGACAAGTGCCCAGCCAGGGAAGGACCATGTTGCAAGATCAGCTCTTGGCTCTAGGGGACAGAAGGGAAAGGCTGCGGAAGGGAAAGGCGTTTTGAATTGGTGGGCCAGGAAGTTGTTTATGTTTTATGATGGCTGGAAGGTCAAGGAAGGCTTTGCAGGAGAGGATAAGGGTGGGAAGTACCCTTTCACTATCTGGAGAAAAAAGTTGACTTTGTAAGCAGTGCAGACAAGGCTCTGGAGTCCCCTTGGTGCATATGCAAAGATGTGGGGCAACAGCTCTAAGTGCAAGAGAGATGTCGTGGTGAGTCCTCCAAAGAGCACCGGCTTTCTCTGGAGCACTGTATGCTGCAGCCTGGACCACAGGCAGCCGGGGTTACAGGCACAATCCACACTGTATTCCCCCTTGTCCAACTTCCAGTACCCTAAAAGTACATATCAGTTAAAACTGCAGCCCCTTAGTGAGAGTACTGCATTTGGAGTAGCAAACTTACTAGCAGGTAATTTAAGAGGCACTTCAAATCAATACATATAATAGGAGGAGGAACAAATTAATGCATTGGATTAGGCTTTGGAAAAACAAAAGGGGAGTTTTGTCCAGTTCTGTAAAAAAGAGTTGCACCAACTGGAACTCGTGTGCTGAATGTGAGAGCAAAGCTTGCCGAGGGTGCCGAGAGCCTGAGCCACGGGGTCTCGTGGGCCCAGGGATCTGCTTCACGGGGCAGCACACAGACCCTTGCCAGAGCATCCAGGCCGGGTTCGAACGTCAGCGCAGAGTCCAGCGCCTGCCCAAGCACAGAGGCTTTGGCTAGTTCACCCTCCCACACGTGTGCCAGCAGATGTGCGTATGGGGCAGCAGGGAGAGTAAAGGGCAACGGGCAGTGCGGGGTGAGGTGAGGGGCACTATGGGGTAATGGACAGCATGGGATGAGGTGAGGGGCAGTGTGAGGTGATGGACACTCTAGGGTGATGGATGCTATGGGGTGACGTGGGGGCAGCGTGAGGTGATGGACGCTATGGGGTGATGGACATTATGGGGTGAGGTGAGGGGCAGTGTGAGGTGATGGACGCTATGGGGTGAGGCGAGGGGCAGTGTGAGGTGAGGGGCAGTGTGAGGTGATGGACACTCTAGGGTGATGGATGCTATGGGGTGACGTGGGGGCAGCGTGAGGTGATGGACGCTATGGGGTGATGGACATTATGGGGTGAGGTGAGGGGCAGTGTGAGGTGATGGACACTCTAGGGTGATGGATGCTATGGGGTGACGTGGGGGCAGCGTGAGGTGATGGACGCTATGGGGTGATGGACATTATGGGGTGAGGTGAGGGGCAGTGTGAGGTGATGGACACTCTAGGGTGATGGATGCTATGGGGTGACGTGGGGGCAGCGTGAGGTGATGGACGCTATGGGGTGATGGACATTATGGGGTGAGGTGAGGGGCAGTGTGAGGTGATGGACACTCTAGGGTGATGGATGCTATGGGGTGACGTGGGGGCAGCGTGAGGTGATGGACGCTATGGGGTGATGGACATTATGGGGTGAGGTGAGGGGCAGTGTGGG